ACTTAAAGCTTAAACAATTCCAAGCAGTCTATTAAATGTATTTTAAAAATCAATTTAAAAAGTATTACTACTGAATTTTTTTTATTTTAGATCTCACTTTAAAATGGGTAGGTTTGTTGTAAACTTTTTCAATGAAATGTCAATACCTAATGTCAATGTTTGATGACCATTTTAGGAGTTAATGAAATGGACTTTAAAATGACGACAGAATAAAAATAAACATTTTATTTTAGCTCTTAGCTATCTCCTAAAAAAAACAAATGTGATGTACATTATTTGAAGAAGTTGTTTAACTTTTTCGTCACCTGTACAGTGTAAACCCGCATGAGTTTGCACTACTCTATTCTCTGCTGGTGGCTGACCAAAATAATGGACACTGCGAAATGCCAACATCAGCAGAAGCTCAACAATTGGATGGCTCAGCACATCACTGAGCAAACAAAGAGCAGGAAGACAGGGACAGACAGACGCGGAGGCAGCGGGAGTGACAGAGACAATCAAAGCGATGTCAGGACGACAACAGAAATTAGTAATTTACACGCAGGCCAAATTCGAAATGCGAAATGCCACCCCCATCAGCTGGCACATGTGGCATATATAATGGGTCTATAATTATAGCAAAACTGCAATTAGTAATTGATGACTTTAATAGCGTAATGAGAACAGCCAAATTGCATGTATTTCAAATCGCATTTGCAAGGTTATTTTAAAATCAAATTAAAAATAAAGAAAATTGGCAACCAAAAAAAAAAAATAATTGTCATGTATCAAAAATATTTTAAAAATTCTTAATTTTAAATGCGAATTGAAGAGTAAGAAATATAGAAACCACAGTATTCACCAATATGTGTAAGGAAAAAATGGTATGATTTTTAGATTTTTGTGAAATTACGGAATTTTTTACAACAAATTTTCAAATAAATGTATTGAAATAAATTATATAACACTTTTTTCGCATAGTCTTAGAAAACCCAAAAGAAATTGATAGAACAAAGCCACAATGCAGGACTAATTTATTCATAAATACTTTCACAAACTTAAATGACAATTTTTGCATTTCCGTTACCCTGTAAAAAAAGCGGTCTAAAAAATTTTAAAATCGAGTAAAAATAACCAAGAAGAGTGAGATCCGGAGTGCTGAGGGTTCAATGAACGGGTGGTTCTGGATTGGGATGAGAAAAAGGCAGTCAGACGACGACAACGACAGCGGCAGCAGGAAGTTAAAGGCCCAAAGGCAACAAATGCTCACTTGGATGGATCAGCTTTTAAGGAGGGGACCACTCGCAAGAGGAGTTCGAAGGGGGAGTGGCTGAACGAAGAATGTTTGATGATGAGTGCACAAGGTGATGAGTTATTCAAAAAGCATGTGCAAAGTGTCAGAAGAAATCAAAAATGAAATTATGCAAGAAGATGAGGGCGACGGGTGTTGAGATACTGCTGCTTTTTCTGCCCATGGCTCGCACAACGCCTCTAAAAAGGGTCCAAAACATCATTTTGTTTAATACAAAAAGTATATATAAGTATACAAGGAATGCAGAAAATGGAAAAGGAATGAAATAATAATGTAAAGTTAAGGCAGATGTGACCCGCAGGCGAGGTCCGAACCCGAAAAGTCATTGAAAAGTTATTTTTCGGCTTAAGCTGCTTAAAAGCATTCGAAAGGAATGTGCAACGGAGTTAGATATGGCCAGTAATCGAATGAGGAATACTCTAAAATTAATATTTTGTTTAGTAATATACATTGTTGTGCCATTTTAAACAAAATTTTAATGTTAAACAGATATTAGACAATAAAAACTTTCACAAGTCACAAAGCATGTTTTAAACGTATCCTAACGATGCAACTAAAATTCCCTACTAGATAATTTTTTACAGAATATTAGCAACTGGCCAAGAGTCAATCGAAACGATATTTGAATTTGTTTGCGGCATCCCGAAAAAACGGAACGGGATAGATAGGAAAAATAAAATAAGAAAACGACAAAAGTTTGCGAACATCGAAATGGCAATTTTGAAGTTTTCCACCCTTTGGCGCTTCCGACTCCTCCGCTTTTCCTACCAAAGCTTAACCCCCCCTTTTCCCCATCCATTACCCTTTTTTGATTCGATTCCGAGCACTTGAACACGAAATGCACACACACCTGGAGTGAAGCAAGACAATTGAAGATGGGTTTTATTCTTTATTTCGTTGGTTCCGATCAATCAGATTGGGGGAAACTATAACAAATTTTCAAGTTGAGTGGAGACGGAAGACCGACCAACGCAAATTGAAGGACAGACCTCGGGTCAGAGATGATAAATTATTGAACTCTGTGCGTATTGTTGTCTGTCTTGGGTAATTATCATTTAGTTCTGGCACTTTTTGTTTCGCTTCGAATATATATTGCCATTGCCCTGCTTTAAGACTCATTTCCCAACTGGCTCGTCGTTTTTCGTTTTCTTTATTCTCTTAGAAGGAGAGACACGCACATGATAAATGATTTCCCATTAACTGACATTGAAAGAAGAGTAAAAGAAGTGAAACAACATCAGAAATTGCAGCAATGATGTAAAGGAAAAATGAGGGGGTACATTTGGTCGGGGGAGGGAAGGGGCCAATCAAATGCGAAGGTCAGAGGGGGATGGACAAACCCACTCGTCTCCCTCCCACAACAGACATGCATTTTGTCATCCATCATCATCATGCCCTCTCTTTCTCCTCGGCTCTAGCCATCTCTGTCTGCCCCCTTTTATCATTCCGAATTAGTCGTTTTATTTGTCCATGTATGTGGTCTTATCGGTTCGCTTTCTGTGGTCCCACTGTGCTGGCTGTAAACAATTTTTGATTTTAACCCAATTCATCGCAAACAAAGTGAATTCTTGATTTTGAGATTTCTTTACGCCGGCGACTTTGATAGATGACCAGAAAATATTAATGGGTGTGTCTTCTTCTCTCTACGATGCGCTCTTTTGAAACTTTACGACGTAGAAAATTGTTTTCGGATGAGAAAACTAGATTGTAATAATTCAGAATAAAAATACATTTTAAGAAACTTTTTAACGGGCTAACTCAAAAAATAATTAATAAAGGAATATCTGAAAGTATTAATATAAAATATTATAACATACTTTCTGTGCAAGAATATCCTTCCTTACTTATTTATAAAAAATAAGCCACAAATTCATTTCCAAGTCGTTTGCCTGTTGTTATTGATATCATTGTAAACGTAATTTTATTCTTGCGGAAACACTTTATAATGATTTGTTATGTACTTGAACTTAACTTTCTTTGTATATATGTAAGTAATGTCATTACCCTCTTTATTCCTTTATTCAGTTAAAGCTATTTGTCTGCCTTTTTTCCTATTGTTGTTTTGCATTTTAGCATAATCGTTTCGTTCCTCATTATCATTAACACATCTGACATTGTGCCTAGACGATTTCATTCATTTTCACAACTCAGACATGCAAATCGCTTTCTGCCTGCAAGAAAAGCGCCCTAATGTATGCTACACTCAAATTGGATGCTGACTCATCCAATGAGAAACAAAAACACACACAGGCACAAAAAGAAAGGCAGAACGAAAGCATCGGAGCCATGCTCACACAAACCAATTCAATCTGCAGCAATTTGCTATAATTTCGAACGCTTAAATGTCGTCGGCCGAACTAACAGGGCTAAAAGATTTACGGCCCTCAACTTTTCACACAGCAAAACCAGATTCCCAAGGAGTCAAAGAAAGATAGAGAGAAAAAAAATACATTTTGGTAACCGGAGAGGCAAAAGATGCTGCGCAGTTTTTGGCTATTGAAAGCAAAGACCATAACAAAAATATTTTTCACCACAGACAAGGCAGTGCTGACAGATTGGGGAAAAAATTGGCGAAAATTGAGCACATAGAGAAAACATTATATTGTAAAAAGTATTATAAAAGTGATTATTACATTTTTCAATATTTGCTTTTAAACCGTTCGATTAGGCATGCTAATTAGGAATCAATTTAATTTTTTTTTGATCCAAATTTAATTGTTTTAATAGAGTAATTGAATTAAAGAACATATATAACTTTGTTACTTTGAAGTTTATATTTTTGTAAGGCATAAATAATGTTTGTTTGGATGAAATATATTCATTAAATATTAATATTAAGTAGTTATCTACTTTTGATAATATTTTCTAACTGTGTAGAAGAGTTTATTGGAGAGAGTCGGGCAGACAGACGACAAGGACTTGGCCCCAGACAGGACAGGACGCTGACTAACACCGAGTCTCGGCCAAAGGCATCATAAAAGTTCTCCATAAGTCGGGCCGACGCCTCGGTGTCGTCGGTGTTCGAATCCCCATACCATCCCCCAAAACCTCATTCATTCGCCTTAATTTTTCGCCCCAAAACTTAAACCCCACATGTCTGTTGTTTGACCTTTTTTTGCGCACCATTTCGTATTGCTAATTTTGTGTCTATTTCTCATGGCTGTGGTTGTTTATCAATTGCTAGACAATACACATTTGCCTACTTGTAGGCGCCATTTCGTAGGCTCGAATAGAAAAGCGATTTTTCCTGATGACGGCAGAGGGGTTGGAAAACAAAAGAAAAAATATCTCTGACATTGTCAAGGCAAAAAGTTGAACGAACTTTTAAACTCCATCGAATGTTTGTTTGTTTCCCAGTCTGACTGATTTTGACTGTGCTTTGTCTGCCCGGGAGTATAAAATGACATTCATGCCAGGGGGAAGAATGTGCCATTGAGGTCTGTTTATAATGCGACACTTGAGCGGTGAACAAGAACTTGAAGATTAACTTTGACTGGGTTGAAAAACACAGGAATTTTCTCAACAGCATGTTGAAATTATACCAGGAAAGTATGGCAAAGGAGTGGCCAACGAAGATTAATTCCATTAAATTCAGACACTAGTAAGGGGGATTTTGAAATGGGTTGTTTGTAGATTTAAGAAATCATTTAAAATACAATATTAAATCTTACCATATAGATTTATTACTAATATTTATTTTTATTTCCAGGGCTGTCACAGATCCTCGTGATGGGCGACGCGTGGCCTTGAAGAAGCTGCCAAATGTATTCCAATCGTTGGTCTCATCGAAACGCGTTTTTCGCGAGCTGAAAATGCTCTGCTTCTTCAAGCATGAGAATGTAAGTGGAAATTCCCCAACCCTTTTTTTTTTTTTTTCGTTCTGAAGTGAACTATCTTTATCGGAAATTTTTCGTTTCACTATGTCATCAGTGAAAAAATTAATTAAAATATTTACATATACACCACTTTGATTATTGTCACTGCTGTGGGCCTGTATATATACGCTTGGTATATATCCTTTAACTCTTTTGTACGTAAAATATCACGTATACGCCGTGACTGTCCGACTGCCTTTGGCTTATTCCCTCTTTTTTGTTGCACTGAATTTATTAACAATTATATTTTCCACTTTAGTCCCGGGCTCTTTTTCATAATATTTACAACTCAAACAGGACAGAGATTGCCAAAGGGGGGTTTGTTGCGGTGAAGAGCGCTCTGAAGCCTCTGAAAAATATAGCCCTATTATGAAATATTTTTCGTTTTCCTCTTTTTTACGTCCCCCCATTTAATGTCCGTTGTTCTCTGCTCAACTGGAATTATTGTTCGCTGGAATTATTGTCATTAATTAAATGTTTGATGCGGCATGTTAATTTATTGAATTTAAACAGTTGTTCTTAAAGGGTTAAGCTCTGTTTCACTTAGCTTTGATGGTGAATCTGTGACTACAATAAATCACAAGGCTGGCAAAAAGTAATTATAACGTAAAATATTGCATAAAAGAGATACGAGCTCATTAAAGGATAAATAAAGTAGTTTTACTTATGAAAAATCTTTATGCTGACTTTATTTGATAATCCTTAACATATTTATATTTGCATTTTGGTTTTACTTGTTTTAAATTTATTCAATTAATAAATAAATTATTGTTCTTTTATGAACGATGTTGCCCACGCTGACGCATTGAATAAATGCAGCAAATTTATTGCAAACAAATTTGTGCCCGAACCGAAAAAAATATGTGAATTGTCCAACATTTTGTGGCAGTTAAAACATAGCCAAAGGCGATGGTAACAAATGCATAAAAAGCATGTTGTAATTTTTGGCTGAAATATATTAGCATGCATGCAAAGAGAGAAACAAATAATATATATGGACAACTGTTGAGGGTCAAATGTTTTATGGGATTTTATGGGACATTTTATATAAATATATTCTCTATGAATTGTCAGCGTTTATAATTTATTTACATATTCATTGCGATTGCGCTGCACGTGCTCATAGCTTTTGTAAGATTCGAGTGGCTTTTTTTGTTAGAACCTTTTGTCATGGTCCATATTTGGTATATTTGACATTTGCATTCAAAGTTAAAAGTCAAAGAAGAGGTTATTGTGAAGCTTTTATGGTGTTATTATACATCGGAAAACTGTCGCACACAATTCGCTGCACTCTTAAATGTCATGGTCTCTCCCCTCTAATATTTTCTATTTGCTAAATCATTTTCAGATTGGTTCAACTTCATTAGACAACAAATAAGCCGTGGGCTGTCTGGGAATCTAATGCCAATATTTATATATATATCTATCTACCATCTCTGTTTATCCATCAACATCATTTCCATCAGCCTACATGATTTCCTTTTGTATTTTCTGTTTTTTACTCGCGCTTGGCTGCGTGTGAATTTCGTAATGCAATAATGAAGAGGTATAAGAGAAGTGGGCGTTATGGAGCAGACAGCTAAATCCCCCTTCTCTGTTCTCCAATCTCATATCCATATGTCGGCAACAACAACAGCAATTGCTGTAACACCTTGCCCAATATGCAAATTTTCTATTAATATGCATAAATTGCTATAGGTGGGTGGATGAATCGCAGAAGGGGGGAATAAAGGAAGCACAACGAAGACGCGACTTTGTCAACGCTAGATGGTTGTACAGAGAAACAAAAAACAAATGTTGGATTTCTGAGTTTGTTTTTTAATTATATCATAATATTATTTGTTTAATATTTATCTGAAATCATGTTACAGAAGTAAGAAATACTTTTACTCACTAATTACGCTTGCTTAAATAGAACATATCCAGGATATAGTCGTATATAATCGTAGGTAATCAATATGTAAATACAATTGAGTTTAATGGCATGGTTTTTATTGCAAACATATTTTCGGTGTTTAGAAAAGCAAGCTGGCATTTCACGAATAAACATTTTTCCTTAAAATAAATCAATTTTGTATATTTTTTCTCCTCATGTTTTTGCATCTGCCTGTATTTCCTGTTTCATTTCCTACATGACAGACATCATTCAGAGAATGGCAAACAAGTGCAATCAACTCCAAACGGTTAGCTAGAAAGAGAGGGATCGATACACTAGAAAGAGTCAGGGGTATAGGAACCCCAGACAAGTTGTTGACAAGGCTGAGGGGTGAGGGGATAGGGGATCGGAAAAACACTGGGCTTGGCACGTGGCTGCCTTGTATTTTATTGCAAATTGGGTTCTCCACATAGTTTTCATATGGTCTGAACGGCTCAACTATTTATAACTCAATCAATGAAAGACCTCTATTCGAAAGTTGTAAGTTCAATGAGGGGGGAAATGTGAGGCATTCATTTTCAAATTGATTTTTCGGAACTTTATTTGAGGTCAACATTGATTGAATGATTGAGAAAGCGATGGAAATATACTGACAAAATACCTTGTCATATTTGAATTATTATAGCGTTCGTTTATATCTTACAATTCCTAAAAACTGTTTCTTTAAAATTAGTAAAAGAGCTGACCAGAGAAGACGTCAATCAATTTACTTTCTTTGGGTTAAATGATTGGGAACCCAAATGTATCGAATGATTAATATCACAATACCTATTACGAATTCTTACCTTTAACATCTTAATAAAATATTTCCCTTAGTTTAGCCAACTCCTTGACCCCATCAATCAATCAAAATCTTGAATGCTTTCCCGTTTCTCAATTGCTTTTTATTTATACATTGCAGTTTAGCTAGCAAATCGCTGCAAAATGCTTGCGCCCATTTTCCGTTGCCCATTTCAATTGCAAACCCAAAAAAAAATCAAATAAAATGATTTACGCTTGGATTTTTTTGTTGTATTTTATTTCGTATGGCAATGTACGTGGCGCACATTTCAAAAGCATTTCTCACATGCAACTCGGGCGAGGCAAGAGTTTCCTCTTATATCTCCCCCCATTTCTACGCAACCTCGAAGCTGGCTTTTCGCTCCCTTTTCCGCCCAAAATGATTGAGTTTGACGCGCTGGCAGCATCAATTGCATGCAAATTTTGTTATTATTCGCATTGCTTTTTCACTCATTGCTTTTTGCAATTGAAATGTCAATTTCGCTTCGTCCTCTTTGACGGATGTGTGTGTTTAGTGGAGAAGGAATGCGATGATTTTTAAAGAACAGGCTTATCTCTTTACAGCAGAGCAATACAGAATAAAATTTGTGGAATTTGCAGAGATAAATATGCATAAATAAAATCTTATCAAATATTTGTTAAATTAGTCTTTATTTGTTTAACGAAATTGGATTTTTTTCAAGCTATTGTGGCCATCTTCATTACATTTTATTAGATTTCAAGAAACATATCTAGCAGGAAGTGAGCCAACTAAAAACCAAGTTGCCTTAAAAGTTTCTTGTAAACTTTAACTAGCAAAGAGTAATCAAAGGGAATTTATGTTGTTGCTTCTCAAGGTTTTTTTTCTACGAGTTGTAATAGTCAATTTCGGTGGAGTTTGTCCCCTCGAAAGCCCCCACTCATTTAATTAGCCAACAAATATGTGTTGACAGCTGCTGCTTGACAATCTTTTAGCTAGAAATTTGTCCCTCAGCTTGGACTGAAAATACTTGTGAAGTCGAAGCGGCGGTGACACTTTTGCTTTTGTTTTCACAGCAGCCTGAGGATGGGGGAAATTCGCTGGAAGCTTGGAGCTGGGGAGCCTAGGAGGAAGTTGTAGACAAGAGCTGGCGCTCAGTGGGTTAAAGGAATGGGGCGGAGGTGATGTGGTGTGGGCTTTGAGGTGGGTTAAACAACAACTTGCCACAGCTGCTGGTTGCAAGTTGAACACAAGTTTCACTTGTTTCTCGGTCTCTTTATTTAACTAGAATTTTTTAGATATACTCAGAAATATATTTGAAGATTTTTAAACTCCTTGTTATTTTAACATTAATTTCTTAATAAAAGTTATATTAAACCAAAGGTAAAAGATTGTTTTATGAGGATTCATTCATAATTTATAACATTTTAAAAAGATTTTAAACAATTTGAATAAAACGTACGATAAGTACATAAAATTGTTAGGTTTAATAATTATAAAAAAATAATTTAAAATATTTCAGCTTTTATATCATTGATAAATTTAAATTATTATTTTATAATTGATATTTCTTTCTGTGCAGCCAAGTTCGAGAACTCAACCTAGTTAGCTTTTTTTTTTATTTTTATTTTTATTACTATGTTGGTTAGCTAGCTAATACCGCTTGGTTTTCCACCAGCCCCCTGCAAATTCATACACCACTTCAAGGACACTTGAAGCTGCCTTCGGCGGTGTACAATGCATAAATTTGGTTTCTGATTGCAAGCCCAAGCCAAAATGTTAATTAGCTGCAAGCCGCGCTGCACGTGAGACCCCAAAAAATAATGCAGCCCGAGTAGCAGCAGTAATAACAATAACAACCCAGCCGCGGCAGCAAATTACGCGCCTGCGCTGTGAAGTTAAGTGAAGTGCAGTGCAGCGAGGTGAAGTGCAGTAAATGAAGTTGACCGAAAAAGAAACTACAAAAACCATTTAGAAACACTTGAAATTCGGCTTTTTTCATTTTCGTTGTTGCTTATTTTATGCCCTAACCAGAAAAGTAATTGGATGAGGAAGGGATTTGGTCGGGATGAGTTTGAAGTTTTTTAAACCCACATGTAGATGTTTGAATCAGTAGCACAGCTTATTATTTTTTAGGAGGCAAACAAGTATGTGCATTGGTAGAATTTCATAACTAAGAAATTAACATTGAACCATATGATTTAAGAAAAGAATTATTGAATTATAATTAAATAGGTCATTGATAAGTTATTCTTGTTGCTTACAGCTTAAAAATCTTCTTTTAAATTAAATTCTATCCCGATTCTACTAAAACTTAACATTTATTCAAATAAAATTTTTGGAAATTTATGTGGACCACATAGTGTATCCCACAATTCGCCTCCTTCAACATCCTCCCATTTAATGTCTCAAACCGCAAACGCAACAAATGGAGTCGCTAAATTACAGCACCGGCGCAGTCGCGAAATATTACAGAATTTACAGGCTGCCGAAGCGGACAAAGAAATAAATATAAAACAAAGGCTGCCAAAGGAGCAGAACTGAAACGAGGGGGAATATCACGTCGCTCCTGTAGAGCGCAAAAAAACTTTGCCACTTAAGACGGCAACGGAGATTCAGACTTGAAGACGGCGACGGCTTAGCAGGGCAACAAAATGAAAAAAAAAACGTAAAAAAAAAAAAAAAAGAAAACCAGTAACCAAAGTTGTCGGCACTTTTTGTTGTTGCGTTCGCAATGCCCCGCGAAAAGTGCTCAAAATTGTTGAACTGCTTTTGGCTTTGGCAACTGCCGACATCAGGCAAGAGGGGGTTAAATGTGCAACATTGTGGCTGGCAACATTTTTTGCTGCCACTGCGGATTTAGGTTTTTTTCCTTCATCCTCCTTTTTTTTTTTTTTTGGTCACTTTACGCATTTTGCAGCCCAACTGAAGTTGTATAAATATTGTAAATTGATTTTAAATGGGCAAGGGGTGAAGAGTTACTCCCCCTGTTAGATTTTTTGATGTGATTGCCTGCAAGTTCCTTCATCATCTCTTCACCGCAAGCGAAAATAAATCAGCGCTTGTCTGTCTGGTTCTGTGGTTCTTTTTACCCCCAAGTTTTTGTATATTTATTTTTTGTATTCCACTGTCCGTCAGACTGTCCGGTCTTGGCCTCCGCCCCCCATATGGATGAGCCCCAGACTTTGGCGTGTTTTGTATCTCCTCCGTCAGCGGTAGCACAACCTCATCAAGGGGTCAACAAATTCCTTGCTGATTTTTTGCTTTGTGCCTTTTTACTTGCGGCATTTAATGTCTCGGCAGCGACACTTAACATGCAACTTGATTTTTATTGCAACTCCATAATTTATGACCAACCCCACGTAATCCCCTTCAAATGAGGTGGTTATTGCTGACTATATTGTCTAGGGACTTGAATTTTAACTGCCAGTTCAATGACACTGCAGTATGCAGATTTTGATGATTAATTAATGATTATGTGTTCCTTTTTTCGATTACAGGTTCTCTCGGCTCTGGACATTCTACAGCCACCGCATTTGGATTTCTTTCAAGAAATGTATCCTTTTTAAAAAATGAAAACTCAAAGAATAGTTTCACTCACAAGTGTGAAATTGTAAGACAACGTGAAATTTTGTGGCTTCTAAGAAGTCATTTAAATGTTATAATTAAATAATTGGGGTTTTACAGCTTCAAAAAGGGGTATAATAGGTGTTTTATGAATACCTTTGTTAGCACTTTTTATAAACTAAAACACCTACTTGAAATGTTCATCATATGCTTAATTCTCCAGTGAATTTGATACTTAATCAGTCTTAATTTTATGAAATTCATTAATTCATTGGCAATCCTTATAACTAACTGAGATTTTAATCTGGTCCAATTATTTTTATGATTATTTTAACAATCTTTTTTCCCAACAGAACTCTATAAACCAAACAAATTCGATTTTGCAAAGTGTGTTGCCTGCTTTTTGAGCGGCGCATCCAAAACTTTTGAGCTAAAAGCAAATGTAACTAATTGAAAAAGTTTAAGGCAAAAACAAACAAGCCAAAAAAAATGGTGAAGGGAAACTTCCCCAAACTTTTGTTTGTTCTTTTCGCATGTCGCTATCAAATTGGTTTCCACCTTAACTCCTCTTTCGAATCGATCAATAGCTATGTGATAACGGAGCTGCTGCAATCGGATCTGCACAAGATAATCGTATCGCCGCAGCACCTGTCCGCCGACCACATCAAGGTGTTCCTGTACCAGATCCTGCGTGGCCTCAAGTATCTGCACTCGGCCCGCATCCTGCATCGCGACATCAAGCCGGGCAATCTGCTGGTCAACTCGAATTGCGTGCTCAAGATCTGTGATTTTGGTTTGGCCCGCGTGGAGGAGCCGGATCAGGCCAAGCACATGACCCAGGAAGTGGTCACCCAGTACTACAGGGCACCGGAGATTCTGATGGGCGCTCGTCACTACTCGTCGGCGGTGGATGTGTGGTCGGTGGGCTGCATTTTCGGCGAGCTCTTGGGCCGTCGTATCCTGTTCCAGGCGCAGAACCCTGTGCAGCAGTTGGAGCTGATCACCGAGCTGCTGGGCACGCCCACCATGGAGGACATGCGGCACGCCTGTGAAGGTGCCCGCACCCACATGCTGCGCCGGGCGCCCAAGCCGCCCTCCTTCTCGGTGCTCTACACACTCAGCTCCCACGCCACGCACGAGGCTGTGCACCTGCTCTGCCAAATGCTGGTTTTCGATCCGGTAAGATATACCCAGGTGTACTACATTTTAGAACTTTCCCAAAACCAATGATGAAAAACGGCAAAAAATAAAAAAAAACGTTTTAAACTAACAATTAAGGACCGTTTTCTCATTGTCATGTTAAGTTTTGACATTGACTTAAATTGCTGTTTCGGAAATATACTTTCTAATTAAAAACCCTCAATGTTCTCCGACAGATTACAAACTAGAACTTAAACATGGCATTAAGAAATCGATCCTTAACCAAAAATGAATATATCCAAACAAATATATCCAAAAGAGATATTTAAGAAAGGTGTTTTTTTAGAGGAAAGGAGTGCTGGTTAAAGCCATTTATAACTCTTTTCAATCCATGGATCTATAACTAACCGTAACTATTTATAAATTCACCAGGACAAGCGCATTTCTGTGACAGATGCCCTGGCGCATCCTTACCTGGATGAGGGACGTCTGCGCTACCACTCGTGCATGTGCAAATGCTGCTTCACTACCTCGGCCGGAATGCGCCAGTATACGGCTGATTTTGAGCCCTCCGCGGGCCAGCCCTTCGATGATCTGTGGGAGCGCAAGCTCACCTCCGTGCAGCAGGTCAAGGGTAAGTGGGAATTATTAATATAGAAACCAGAAATTAAACAATCTGAAAATTTGCAGAGGAGATGCACAAGTTCATTGCCGAGCAACTGCAAACGGGTCGTGTGCCGCTTTGCATTAATCCACAGAGTGCGGCCTTCAAGAGTTTCGCCAGGTGAGTGAGGAGTTCCTTGCCAATACCTCTTAAAACTTTTCCCACCTAAAACCCTTACAAGTTTTCCCACCTCTGCACGCAGTCCTGTCCTCTTTTACCAAAAAAAGTTTTTTAAAATTTACCACCTTTAGTCAAAATTGTAAATCTTATTTTCAATCTATATTTTCTTTTGTTACAATTGATTTTATATTTTTCGTTTAAATGACCATGGCTTCCGTGTAATGCTCTTTCTTCCTATCCCACTATTAATTGTCGTACCTGTCCCCAAACTCAAACTATCTCTAAATAACTCTCTACCTACCGAACTACGATTATAATTTGTAACCTTATTTTTAAATGATCTTTTTCGTTTGTTCTTTTATTTTTGTTGTTCAACATGGATATTAATCTTGAAATTTCTATTAAATCGAATCGTTATATTTGCGTTGTTAAGCCAATGAGAATGAGAAAATCTACTACTACTACCACTACCACTACTACCACTACAACTTGCACTGCTGCTCCTGCCGCTGCTCCACTCCGCCGCCGCCTACTGTTGCGCTGCCCTCAAGAACCGATCCAGATCCAGATCGAGATCGTTATCCAGATCAAGAAACTAGGCGCGCGATCTCCTCTCACTAGAACGAATCGATATAGAAACGCAGAAGTCACAAGATACTAATCTGCCGAATGATTGAAGAATGAAAATGAATGAAAATGCGAGCAATGCCAAGATAAAGAAACAATAATACAGATACAGAAAATGAGGCCTCGGGGCGGCAACTGTCTCTCAACTCCTTCTTAGGTCTGTTGATAAAGCGAAAACCTTACTAAATATTTGTTTATTTAGTTTTATCACCTTTTTGTTCATATCTTTTTATCTATTTTTCTTCCTTATGCAAATGTGTATAAAACAAAAAGCCAAACAAAAAAACAAAAAAATCTCTTAGTTTTAACTTTATCCTATGATTAACTTTTCATTTTGATTTATAATTTTAATTTCATCTTTTTTAAATGGGTATTTTTGCCTAACTATTGTGTACATAAATGTTTTCTTAAACCAACAAAAATAAGACAGTATAATCCGAAATATTATAAAATTGTTTACAAATGTCGCAAAGAAAATTTAGAACATAATTGGCAAGGCAAATATATGGTAAAAAAAAGGAAAAATAAAAACAACGAGAGACATTTTCAACTATTTTATAAAGCCAATAATTCGAACCAAGTCGAACATAATGCATATAACCAGTTCCATAATCAGTTTTGTGTTTATATTTTATGTTCGCATTCTACTCCTATATATATACTACTATATATTCGTAATCGTGTACAGCATACAGATTCATCAATAAATTAAGCCCATACACGCACCCACAGACCATATCCATACCATGTTCCAAAACTGCAATCATTCCTATAAAATATGTAATGCACACTTATCATAAAAAAGGATTAAAAAATGCTTTAAAGATGCACAAAAGAGACTCTTAAAAAATTTAAAGCGTACCAAAAATATACAACTCGAATATTCATTAGTTCAATAAAAAGACTTTGAAATATGTATTATATTAATACCATAAATGTTGCGAAAGAATTGTCACCTAATACTAAATGAAAATATGAAACTCAAGTGTTCAAAAACTTAAAATAAAATAGATTTCAATTTGAAAATAGCTCTTGCACCAATCAGTCAATCATTTAGCTCAGTCATTGTCCTGCATAACCCTACAAAAACTGTTAATCTATGCAGATTTAAAACACAAGACTCGAACATTAACATCCATATGCTTGGATTAATTTAAATAAATTTAAAAACTGCACAGAAAATCATGCAAAATAATATTTGTACAGTTTGCAGTGCAGCTGAGCAGCAGTGACAAAGAAAGAACTGAAGTAGATTTAAATGCTTGAACAACTACCACTCAATGACTTTTGATTATTATGATTAACAAACGAAAACTTTTACTTTGTATTTTGAATCCCTCTCCAACCCAAACTCTTTTTGTAGTTCTAGTTTGTACATTTTCATTTTATGTTTTGTTTCAAGATTGTTTTAAATGGGAGCTATTTCTGTATTTTGATTGTATTTTGTCTTAAATTAAAGCTTTTAATGTTTTCTATAAATTTTACGTTGTACATGGCATGAAATAACTAATCTAGATGTTCATTTGAAACCCAACTATTGAAATTCGGAATTAAAATTCGTTTGTTTTATCATTTTCCCCCACCTGGATTTAGTTCGACCGTGGCACATCCTTCGGAGCTGCCGCCCTCGCCTCATCAATGGGAATGACGGCAAAATGAGGCGATTGCTGCCTAAAATCGAAACAAAAGCAACACAGCCAAACGATAGAACCTCGCCGCCGAAAAGAAGGAGAAGAGGAGTCGATTCCCAGTCCAAAAAAAACCCTCGAAAAAACCCAACCCAACCCAACCCAGAGATAACTCAGCCAGGAACAACGATTGAATAATTTTTAAGCGCCAAACGGCTTTTAAGTGGGCGTTTGTCTGTTTGAAAGTTAAAGCATTCCACCACCGAAATTAACTAAAAGAAAACAAACAAATATTTAATAATACTATAGACAAACAAATATGTAACGTAACTCAACTGAAACTAGTCTAAACAACAAAACTGTAGTTAAAGCAGCAGCAGCGACACAAAACCAGCAAGTTTAAAGTGAAGGAAAAATATTACAAACATTAAAGAGAGAGAGAGTGCAGCAGCAGATTCTACGCACTACAAGCAAAGCGTAGTTTATAATATTAGTTTTTTGGCAACAAAGCAGACATTTTGTTGTGCTTGACAAGAATTGGAAGAATTGATCGTAAATTCGAATTAATGAAAAAAAAAACACAACACAAAATCGTTTTATGTTATGCTTCTAAGAAATCTATGTATATGTAAATTAATTAGCAACACACACAGACATCGTATTCATTATATACAAATATGCTTAACTATTAAATATATCGATAAATATATTTAAAATAAAATAGTAACAAAATGCACACAAATCCAAAATTTGTTTGCCAAAATTTACCTCAAGCGATTAACCTTTTCATCCGTAAAAAGGATAAATTCATTTTCTGTTAGCTTACGAAAAAAAAATAGTAAGGTGTAGCTACAGCTAAATGTTTACTAAACGCAAAACAAAAAACAAATTCATTTGAAATTATGCAACTATTTTCATTTTCACAAACGTTGAAAGCTTCAATTTTGAAACTGGTTTCTAGATATATACTCTAAATGTATCTGACCACAAAAAGCGGTCAAACACTAACTCAATATTAGACAAAACAAAAATATTTGATGAAATTAGTTCAAAGTTTCAACTGTCGACTGAGCAAAAATTACAATATAAATAAATATAAATATAAATTAAACAATTTCAACCTAATTTAGTTATGACAATTTTCGCTTTGATAATAGTTTGTTAAGCTTTTTAATAATATTTTTCATAAATGTAAACTATCAAATAAACAAACCAACAAAGGAAAAACCAACAAGTGGACGACGCACTGCCCCCAGTGAATGATTCTGGCGGATGAAGCCCAATGGGACGAAAAGGAGGATTTCCATTCCCCTTTGGAGTCCCACGGCGCCGCCCGAATCAATTCAATTTTAGTTGATACATATACTTTGCTTTTAGTTGATTACCATGTAATATAGTTTAATTTTCGACTAACTACACCTCTGTCTCTCTCAATGCTCATCGCTTTAGACTATAGCAAAGGTGCAGGACAGGATCGGTTATAGAGGATCAATTGCTACGGCCTCGGCTGCCCAGAACATTATATATGTTAAGACTGAGTTTTCTCATTTGACGACGACGATTGATTAATTGAGGATATGCAATATGAAATTCACACTTGATTTTTTTGGAAGAGTCAAAATTATGATGTAGCTTAAGCACTTACACAAAATTAAAAATGTATACCGTAAATGTGTATTTTGAATGTCATTTGCCTTCAATGTTTAGAGCAAAAACAATGCAAAAATATTTAATCGAAAAAAAACGATAATGAAGTAGAAGAAGCTCTTGAAGAAATTAAAACTGAAGCTAAACTAAACTTTTCCTCTTCTTCAATTCTCTTAACTGTGCTGCTTTCTTATGTATGTAGTTATTAATTATATCATTATATATATTAACCGATATATATACATGTATGGATTAGCGTAAAACAAACGAAAACAAAACAAAAAACAAATATGAATTCAAAACTTTCACGGAGATCTCATAGCAAAAACAAAACGAAATGAAAGAAAAGAAAAGCAAAGGAAATCAGTGTGCAAAAAAGTAGAATTTCTTTTCAACTTTTGTTTATAACTAAAGTTTTTCTTAACCGTTAATATATAGAGTACCAATTAGAGATTACAGATTGTTTATCCCTCATTTGACCAGAGACCGACCCAGAGACACACGCTCGAATGCAAGTTAAATTGACATCTACATCAACATCATTTACATCTCTAAGCACATACTCCCCATAGAGGTACATATATAATTATAGCTACTCATATGGATAGTTAGTTTTCGTTCGGCTTAGGCACCGTGTACATAACATTATCTCCACACCCCCACCAATAATTAGCCCACATCTCTCTCTAGCTCAGTAAGACGGTTAGCTATGAGGTAATACGAGTACGATAAGTAATGGACATGTACATTATACTACACACATAGCACAACCCTCGATTGGAGCAGGTCTGAACTAAAACATAAAGAAATTCACACTCGATATATGCCTATATAGGATGTATGATTTGGGGGAGAACGACTTGAGTCGATTCAACCGCCCGTTCGAAATGAGTTCATAAGTTAAGATCAACTGTAACTGTAAACTGCATTAGTATTTGACTTGTAAACCGATTTATGGATCATTCTTAACTATATATATTAGATACGTATTACACATTAATTTACGTTAACTGAGAATAAAACAAAAACTTGTGTAAACTGTTTGTATAAAAAAAAATAAGAACAAAACAAAAAAAGAAGAAAACGAAGGAATTTTGTTTCATTTGTCGCATTACTTGAAGTGGATCCAACCCAACCCAATGCATTTGCTAATTAGAATTTATAGCTATGTAACACATTGAAAACCCGACAGCTGGCACCTACTATATACGATATGTGTATGTATATGTATGGACAATATTTGAGATTAAAACACACTACACATGAAGTTTGTATTAGAATACAGGTCAGCATTCCGCTAAAAAGGAAACCAAAGGATGCCACATATATTTACCCTTTTCAATATTAACCAAATATATATGGGAATACCTATAAAATTGGTCGGAGTCTAAGAGGAATCTTTTGAAATTAGAATTGGTCAAGATTGGTAGATCTGACCATAAAAATGATTGCGCTCAGGTTATAAAATGTAAAAATTAAAACACTCTTATATATATATATTATAGATAATCTCTAATTCGCATAACATGAAGATAACCACATAAATGTACGTTTAACAAGTTTAACAAAAGGCTGTTTGTAGAAATTGTGACACAGTTTTTTTAACCCGAACCCACTACTAACCGATGATTAACCAACTCGATGTGTAAATGCAAAAAGAAGAAGGATATTTCTTCGACTTCACAGTAAATGTAGTTGTAGTTGCTTACACCTACCAGAAAAAAGCTGGCTGCTTTGTGCACTCCGAGAAAATTGTGTAAATAATAAAAACAAAATTATAAATTAAAAATAGTAATCGTCGTACATACATTTAGAGAAAACTTTGTGATTGCTTCTCATTGATGATAATGACATAAATGTTTTGTAGGGAAACCTAAAGACAAATATTTTTTCTTAAAAACAGCATGTAAAAACACTTGATACGCTAACCAACAAAAAAAGCAAAAGCTAATTGTAGGACACACCAAAAAATGTAGTTAACAAACGTAAAGGTTTATAAAACACCTATAACCAATGAAAGTCGATGGCCGATCTTTAACCAAAAATATGATATACGAGTATATGTGTACGGAAAAATTTGCTAAATGTTGTAAAAAGTATGTTACGCGATTATAATTGTAGCACTTGAAATGGAATCTCGCCACTCATGTAGAAATCCTCATCCAGTAAAAGCACGCAACAAAGTTCCCTAATACTTTACACACAATTTGGTTTCCTCGACCCGCAAGCTAAATTAAACAATAACTGTTTAACTGTATATATGTAATGTATTAACCACATTAACCAAATACTAACTGAAACGAGTCTAAGTCCAATACTCACTTGGCTGCATAAGTTGTAAATTACCAATTGCAATCCTTTCTCCAGGACGAAAAGAAAGTGAAACTCAGAACTTTGCATAATTTACATGGAAATCGTAAGGACACCCTAACCATTGTATTAACTAAACTAAACCACACTAACTAAAACCCGCATTAGACTTACTAAATATTATTATAACGTAACAAGAAAAGAAAGAATATGGAAGACGAAACCGTAAAAAAATGCTTTCAAACTAAATAAAGTTCTTTGGAATTACAATGCAAAAAAAAACCAAAAAGATACAAAAAAAAAAACAAAAGATACTTTAAATTGGGTGGTGTTTTGTCGCATTGTTATTTTTACCTTGTCCCCCCGTAATAATACTCATGGATTTCATTGTTGGGCTTACATAAAGCTTTCATATATTCAATATAGAAAGGACTTCAAACATGGTAATTCTTTTTATGGCTTAACTCTTTCAAAATGTACCCATCTCCAGCGGGGTAACATTAAATTTAGGGTTGGCTTACAAATCTAAATGGGGAGCTGCTTCAGCTCTGCGATGGCTTACAAATTAAATTGGTCTGTTTCAGTCTTAGACAACGTAATGAAATGCCTTTTATATGTACGATTCTTTCGAAAATAATGGGAACTTTTTCACATGAAATGGAAATTAAATCGGTGAATGAATGATGAAATACTGGTAACTAATCCTTGTTGCCGTAGATACTGTAGCTCTTCTCAACGAATATCTGGATGGAGCGCTTTACATTCTGCTTGTGTGGCTCGGGCAACTGTTCCAATTTAGGAAGGATCTTCATTAGAAAGCGAAAGTCAGGCGATAGATTTATGTTCGTCTCGATATCCTCCGAATTGATTTTCTCTTCCAAATTTTCGTTCTTTACGATCTTGGTATTTGCAATTGGAACTGGCATCTGAATGGGCGATGGCTCTGGACTTGCAGTCGGCGTGATCTTGACAAAGTTAGTGGGGTTCTTCTTGGGCGGCAATGTTATTTGTGGTCTGCGATTGTTTACCGCTGGGTTGGATTTTACCACCACTGGAGTTGGTTTGATCTGCTTCTGTTCTTTGTCCTGTATGCGATTCAGTATTTCGGGCAATAGTTTCTCCAAATGCTGGGTAAGATTGGCCTGCGGTTTGTCGGTCATAATCATCAATTTCTTGCCAGCCGCTTCTTTGTCCTGCTCCACAACCACGAACATCTTGCGCTTTTTGGGCTGTCCATTGGACTCCGGAGCATGACCGTTGGTCTCATTTGATTTCTCGGTGATCACGTAGAGTTTCCTCTTCTTGGTCTGTCCATTCTCCAAGTGGTTCTGGGAATCCTCCAGGGTGGTAAATGGTAGAGAAGCTTCATAATCGGAGTTTATTGACTGCACATCGCTGGAGGCCGAGGAGCTGATGGAGTGGGAACGCTGGGGCATGGGCATAATGCTGGAAATGGGCTTCTTGGCCTGGTGACTCTTCTCCAGATCTCTGGTTGGGCTCTGCAATAAAGAATTATTTTTTAAGTTCGTTTACATAGAACACTGATAATTATAAAAATTTTAAAACATCTAAAACGTTAAAGCAATACCTATATGAATTGATAATGATTTTAGAGATAATATAATGACTAAAACCATTCAGAAGTTGTCACTCAGTGCTTTGGAGCGTTTGGGACCTTGGAGTAGTGATCATTAGTTTTAGACTTCCCTTTAATTCTTATTTATAACAAATAGCCGCCATAATGTTTTAAATTACTTTTCTTTAGCCATTATTGGCGCCATATTTTTTTTCCAAATTTTATAGTAAGCGTCATAAGTGTCTCAATATCAACCCCTATGAAAGCTGAACTTTTGTGGAACTACTCACCTCTACAAGTTCAATGGTGGTGTTAGCCACCGCCACTGCCGGCTTGACTTGACCGCTCCCAGCTCCTCCCTCTCCTCCTCCCTTCCCTCCATTATTGGGTAGTACTATTATCCCCTTGGAGGACTTGCGCAGCGGCGTCATCTTAATGCGCGTTTTGGCCATCTCCTGGCGTTGGCTAAAATGTCTGAAGCAGATGCGCAGCTTTTGCAGGCCGCCGAGTTGATCTACCAGTTTATCGCTGACGCCGAAATGACGCAGCCAATGTTTGCAGCTGCAACGAAAGAACAACAATAATAACAATGACTACAATTACTAACAAACGAAAGCTCAACTCAGTACTTTTCTCGGGCAAAAGTTTTACATATTTAACAATGCTGGTTTCAAATGAGTACAACTTTTTTGGGGAAAATAATGAAAATAAAACATACCAATTATAAAGGATCGGGAAAAAGAGACGATCGTTTCGGTTGCGCGGTTCTTTGTTTAATGATTAAACAGAAAACTGAGCATTGGAGTTGTTCTTGCGGCGCTTGGAAAAGTTCTTGTAAAAAGACTTTTTTTCTCAGATGCAATAAAAGCTCTTTTTATGCTTCTTTGGCAAGGGAGAGAGTGCTGCGCTTTCGTTCGCTCTTTCTCGCTCAGCGGAAGTTTCGTCGGGAATTGATGTTGTTGTTGTTGCTGCAGCTGCTGCACAACGTCCCCCCTTTTTTTGTTGTTGCGTTTTATGGGAAGATGGGGAAGAAAATAAGTCGAATAGACGCTTATTTTGCTTTATGTTTATGACTTTCAGGGTGGACCAAACCACTCTATGCACAGTTCCTTACCGCCATTGTTGTGCTGGTCAGGAAACAAAACAACTCAATAATATTTACTTCCTTAAAATAATATTTATTAACCTACTCTATGTTAAACGTTTTTTTAGAAGTTCAAGAACAAAAGTTTAAGAAAAAAGTTTAAGCTTATAAAGTTTACATTTTAAGTACTCTAACAGAGAGCCAGCAAAATGCTTTGAAAAAATTAACGCGAAATCGACTGTGATCACAGCCTTGGTGAGTGTATGTTAGAAGATGTGTGAATTTTAAACGTAAGCGTATTAAATAAAGTTTGTTGATCTAGAATTTAAATAAATATGAAAATAATAATAGGTTTGAGAAAACCGAGATATATAATGAAAAGCTTTCTCAGATTATAAATTACACTAATCTGTGAAATTAATAAAATCTCCATGAGTCATTTTAAAATTTCTTATCTAAAGCTTACAAATTTCTATGAAGGTCAATTTAAAAGTGAATGAGTAAGCACTTAAATAAGTGAATAAACAACTACAAAACTCTTCAATGACAATTAGATAACGTAGTATCAAATCCAATCAAAACGAAAGTACATTCTTTAAATTTGTTTTTCTTCTAAAATTAACATAGGTTCATTTTAGTTTGCCCTATAAAAATGACTTTGACTTTTGGGTTTCAAAGTACATTTGATAATAATGCCGCGCCAAAAACAAACATAACAGAAAAGCTTTTCTTGATAATAATTAACACTAATCTTTAAAGTTAACGGGGATTTCTAAAAACTAATTTCAATATAATAAAAAAGTTTTTACACTATTGCCTCACAAATATGATCAAAAAAGGAGACTTAAATAAAAAACCTACTTTCAGGACTTCATCTTTTGAGGATTTTTTAAGCAGTTGTAGACGACTGGTCCACTCTAAGCTCCATGGCCAATGCCAGACGGAACTTTACTTTTTTTGCGCACTAACTGCAGAACTAGAGGTGAACAAGCGGCAGTGAAAAAAAAAGAACTTCACGGCCAGCAGAGCAGAGCCTCACGCGCATTTGTGGCTGCATTTACAGGAGAGCGTGAGAGTTATAAATAAATGGGAGTCTGGAACTGGGACTGGGACCTACCCCGCCCACCCTCAACCCCGCCCACATAGGCACTATTGCATTTCTGATTTCTGCACTGCAGTTTCTGCCGCGATGGCATTGAAATTTTTCTATGAAAATGATGCACTTTTATGCGAAACCAAGAGAGAGTTCAACGACCTTTGACTGGGAGCGTAGTATCGGTATCAAATGAATAAGAGGAAGAACTGTGGGGAGGGGGAGGCGAGGCCAAAGCTTCTGATTATATTAGTATTGGTGAGGTGATGAAAATAACGAATAAGTAAAGAATTGGTTCGATTCGATCGAAAAGCTCTTTATAGGCTTCCTCCGCAAAAAAAACAGGTTTAATGTTGTTATCGGGGGAATTTAAGGTAACGCTTACCGATCGGGATCGTGGACTGGAAAACGACGCAACTCATTGGGCTTCACATCCTGGCAACCCATCAAACAAATCCTGGTGGACGGTGTCAGTACTTCTTTCACAAGACCATTGGGATTCAGCGATACAGCCTGGCAAATCCGAAGAGTACTCATGCTACACCGAGAATTGAAATAATAAATAAAGATAACTTAACAATTTCAGTGGACATTTCACATAAAATATTATTTTTTTTCTAATTCTATAGTTATGGTAATAGTCACATTTTAGCTAAATTACACAAGAAAAATTATTTTTCAGATTTTGTTCATTAATCTTATTCCATATTTATAATATTTCAGATACAACTTATCTTATAATTATTTAAAAAATATTTCCTATCGCTACTTTTTATTATATTTTTTTCATATATAAAAAATTGTTTTATTTATTTGCTCATATGTATACTTTTTTTAGAATCAAAGAAAAACTAAAGACCATAAGAGCTTTCCCTCTCTATCGAATAAAAGCTATCTTGCTGCAAGTAGAATTAAATGCACATGAAAAAGCTGTTTGGATAACTTGAGCTTACATTACGGTCCCGCGTGATACGATAACAAAACCCAATGAAATTAAATACGAACTCCCTCAAAAGTCCTACGCTCACCAAAAGGTAAATAGATGAACAATGAACTCACCTGTCACCTGTGGATTTTTAATACCTCTAGTTCTGGCCGGCACTTGTGGGTTGAATAACCCTTCTGTTATTATTATGCTTGCTTGTGCTTTTTCAAAAAAGTACTCTGGGTTGAAGCTTTTTGTCGCGGGACTTTGAATTCAAATGCCGATTGGATCGATTCAAAGGCTTGATTTAGCTGAGTCCGATTTAATGGCCTCTAATCTGTAAGTAAGTGGATTCGATTACCCTTACGTTCTGCAGTCTATACTGCGCTACGCTACGTCACTCGAGGTACTGCGCGAAGCTCGGTTTGGTGAGCGAGAGTGGCGAGCTTTCTGCCCATGCGTGAGATCTTCACAGAAAAAGCTCTGTCGCATTGGGATTGCGAACAGTAAACATTCCCTAGAATGGTCTCTAAGCTTGTTGCAACTTGGTAGATAAAACTCGGATGGTACATATCTATTTCTTTTTATTTTTATTTCTATTTTTCATTTCAAAATAAAATAAAACAACTATTTTCTAAAATAACTAAATAATTTAAGCTTAAAACTATAAGATGGTACACATAGGTATTAAGCTACCTCAATTTTTCGACAATTTTATAATGTAACTCTTTTAAAATTTTCGAAAAATGGCTGCAAAAAATATACCAAAAACATTTTTTATAGATATCCGATTCCGCAATGGCATATTTCTAAATGATTGTGGTTTAATTCTCTAACAAATCTGTATACTAACCTCGTTTATATTTTTGGGTCGATTTTTCGTCATTTTTATGAGCTAACCAAATTTTCGAAAAATGGCTTTGCTGAAAAGTGACCAAAAACCTGCACTTCTAAGTCCATATCTTTTGTTACAGACATCCGATTCCGCAGTGGGATATTTCCAAATGATTGTGGTTTAATTCTTTAAAACTCTGTATACTCATCTCGAAAAATGGCTTTGATGAAAAGTGACCAAAAACCTGCACTTCTAAGCCCATAACTTTCGTTACAGACAACCGATTCCGCCATGGCATATTTCCAAATGATTGTGGTTTAATTATCTAAAAATCTGTATACTCATCTCGTTTTTGATTTTTTGGTCGGTTTTTAGTCATTTTTAGGAGCTAACCCCTTTCCAAATTTACGAAAAATGGCTTTGCTGAAAAGTGACCAAAAACTTGGTCTTCTAAGCCCATAACTTGTCTTACACACTTCCGATTTTGCAGTGGCATATCTCTAAATGATTGTGGTTTAATTCTCTAAAAATCTGTATACTCATCTCGATTTTTATTTTTGGGTCGGTTTTTCGTCATTTTTATGAGCTAACCCCTTTCCAAATTTTCGAAAAATGGCTTTGCTGAAAAGTGACCAAAAACCTGCACTTCTAAGCCCATATCTTTTCTTACAGACATCCGATTCCGCAGGGGCATATTTCTAAATCATTGTGCTTTAATTTTCTAAAAATCTGTATACTCATCTCGATTTTTATTTTTTCGTCATTTTTATGAGCTAACCCCTTTCCAAATTTTCAAAAATGGCTTTGCAGAAAAGTGACCAGAAACCTGCACTTCTAAGCCCATAACTTCTCGTATACAAATCCGAAAAAATTGCGTTTAGGTCTTGATATCAGCGCTTTAAATTATAATTCAACATTTTATTTGAACGTTCCGTGAGAAATTTGCATTTAGATAGCAATTGCGTTTATCAATATTACTAGCCATAAATTTGCAGCATTGCTGGGCCGCCAAGTTTTCCATCCAATAATTAATTAAAAGTGTTTAAAGCTTTTACATAAATAAAGATACGAAGAGGTGCAGGTGTTAGTTTGGGGCGTGCGTTCACTCGATTTTTGTACATTAATTACGGCCTTACAATTTGCGACTGGCAGCCTTCATTTGGATATTTAAAAGCCAATCAATTGGCGGTTCGACGATGTCATAAATTTCAATGGGCGCTTATTAGGAGAAGATGGAAACCCCCTCGAAAAAAACAGGGGCGTCGAGTTGCAGATAAGCATCCACTTGTCACATCACTCATATTTCCGAGACGTCAATTTGCATTGTCTGTGGAAATTGCAGTTTGTAGCTTCTTGCTGTCACATGCCAATTGACCCAATCGCCTGTTATGGCCAGGCCAGCCTCAATTTTCCAAGTGCTAAGCAAATAAAATTTTAACGGCTGGTTTTACAGCGCTTTTTTATTTTTAACAGCCAAATTGTCTGTTGTCGTGGCCAGTTGATTGCGTTTTACGACCGACAGCAGCATAATTACAGATGGGCCTGATCTGTTTTCCCAAGAACAATTGTGAAAACACGAGTTGAGTGGGCCGCCATCGAAAACGCGCTCAGTCAGCATTTTAATTTCTGACTGATTGAGCTGAATGAGTCGATGTGGAGAACTAGAAGTGTGTGCCGGCGATGCCAGACGGCGATAAATCCCATGGGGCCAGGCTTCATCGCCTGTGTGGTCTCTCTATATCTGTATCTGTCTGCCCGACAGCCGGGGGCACTCGTTAACTGGCAGCCGATTATGTGATTGGAATATTGACAATTAGGCGGTTACAAATTGATTTACTTGTAATTTTTATGGCGCCCCTGAGGGGTGCTCGCTAAAGCTGGCTAATGGATGATCCAAACAAATTGGGATCATTGTGAGGGGTTTGAAAAATTATATAGATAAGCAAAAATAACATTTTTGAGGCTAGAGTGGAACAAAAAATCTTTGTCAGAAGTGGGATTCGAACCCACGCCTACAGAGTAGACTGCGACCTGAACGCAGCGCCTTAGACCACTCGGCCATCCTGACTTTTAAGAACAGGTGGGCCAAATTTCATTTTGGTTCGGGATCGAGTGCTGTTACAGTGAATCCTCTATACACTGAGCCAACAAAAACCACGGTTGTTCAATAAAAAGATTTTTCTAGCTATAACGATGCATTTAAATAAAATCAATTCAGTAAGAGTTGGGTAATTCAAACCACCATCAAAAAAATTGAGTAGTAGACACAAAAATGTATAAGTGAGTTTTATTTCTATTTTGCAAACTCAACTTACAAGTTCTCCTTTAAACATTGTTTTAACAGTAAGTATATTTGTGTAAGATTACTTTAATAATCCTTTTTTTTCCCGCGTGCTCTGTCTTTTTGTTATCATTATTTCAACAATAATCATATTTAAATATCATAAGCCTTAGTTCACACTACCAAATGTTCATTTAACATGGCTAGGACATTATTGGTAAAGTTCAAAAATAAGTTTTAAATTCGAGGAAAGTATTAATTGTTTAAGAACAAAAAATACAAAAATATATTGTCAGAAGTGGGATTCGAACCCACGCCTACAGAGTAGACTGCGACCTGAACGCAGCGCCTTAGACCACTCGGCCATCCTGACTGTTAAACTAGCGAGTGCAAATTCCCAGTTTCCCCTCGGGCGAATTTGTTCTTAAGTATGTTAAAATTATTTAAATTAAGTAACTTACAAAATGGATGCGTTTACATGTGGAAAACATTTAAAATAATAATAAAGGGATTTTCAGACTTGAGATATAAATACACTCACACTATGTTACTATTAGAGAACTGTAATAACTAGATGAATTTTATATTTAATTAATTAATATGATTATTCAGCAATTATTTAAAATAAAGAAAAATTTGGGAGAGTACACAAAAAAGTCTTGTCAGAAGTGGGATTCGAACCCACGCCTACAGAGTAGACTGCGACCTGAACGCAGCGCCTTAGACCACTCGGCCATCCTGACAGTTGCTGTTTCGGTGTCAAAAGACCAATCGCATTCACTGGCATTGTGCTGCAGCGACATTAAGCATACGCCATGTATTACATATGTTTGAAAATCACACTTAACACTTTGAACTTGCTGCCCACACTCAAATGCACTCCCGATGAATTATTATAATCGGCACCCCAGAGGCAATGACAAATTGCCGCTCGTCGCGTCATAGAAAGGTGTGTACGGACAGACAAGACACGAAATCAACATGCAGCCGATGGAAATGATAATAAAAAGCGAGCGAAATCAGGTCAACGTCATACATCACACCGTGCAGATTGGCAAGTGTCACTTTTTTTATAAGTTTCGATTTGTTGCCCAACAAATGGCAGTCAAGTCAACAAAATGCCGATATTCATCGAAAAGGTTGTGAGGGGGAGCTGGCGATCAAAACGGGAGTAATTAAGTTGTAGTTTTTCGGTTAGCCAAACTGGCAAAATGTCAACTAGCCCGAAGTGCGGACCGCTTGACATTTCACACGCAGCTGCTGTTGCTGATCTTAGTTTTATTTTTATTTTTGCAGCAGTTACTGGTCGCACGCACTTTCAATGCATTTCAATTAGTTGCAGCCGCAGTTGCACAGCCGCACAGCCGCTCCACTTTGACTTTGAGTGCCCGTACTGGATATTTTCCATTTTTACAGACTGATGGCAGACACTTGATAGGCCTGAGCGTATGTTAATCGGCCGACTCGACCTGACAGCCCAAGTTAATTAAAGTTTGCGCTCTCAGCAGCCACCCAGCATACATAATTCCCATTAATTTACTTGTTAGCCACAGAGACTGCTAAGAGTACCTCAATTGCACTCGACTCATTATGATTAATGATCGCAGAGTACAAGAATTGTTTGAAAACCACTGTGACCCACAAAAGGCGACACAATTTCTTGTGGCGACTCGAAATAGAATTAGCAAATTGCCCGAATGTCAATCAAGCGTCATCAATCAAAATTTGTGCTACTGTCAACTCGATCACAATACAAATATAAATAAACGCAGCCCAGCGGGCTGCAGCAGCTGGGTGCAGCTGAAATATTTAACTGGAGGTTGTAAATTACCATAACAATTCTGAATTCTGGGGAGCTATGTGGGTCAACAATGGAAAATCCCCTCCCGGCCAAAACCCCATGATATGTCAGCAAAGTTGTTAGCACAGCCGCACAAAGGTTAAAATGAGGCATTGAATGAGCCCCCGACTTCAGAGCGATGCAAATGGAGTTTGGATTAAGTTAACACCCCGATTACCTTGAGGCCGTCTTTATATATGTTCTTCAGAGCAAATCATTTAATGAAGATATTGTCTAGTTCTCAAAGATTTAATCTGTCTCAGCTCTATGAAGTGCCCGGTGTTTGTGGGCGGGGAAAACTGTTTAATTTATTTAACTCTGATACCAAGTGATAAATGGCTATTCCAACCCGGTGGACAGCCAAACGACATACGTTTATGGGAGCTTTGATTTATTGGATTCTTTTATATAATTGTAGTCATGTTTAAATGGGGATTTA